GGTGTTACGAAAGCTAGACGGTAGCCGTAAAACGATCTTAACTAAGTGAAGCATCAAGATTGCTAAGGCTTACGTAGGTACAAAGTTACGTAATCGCGTATTGCCCAAGCGCATATTTGGTGAAAGGTTTTTTCAGATATCCTTTGACCTTTATTCCGGCTTTTGAGAAACTAGTCTTGAACACGTTTTAGGTGGGCCAAAACAAAGACATTTATAGACAAAAGGTCGTCATAAGGGTAAGATAAAAGCTACGATAAAACTCTATAAGAAATGTAAAACATGGTTGAAATGGAAACACTCCGAGGATATTAGAACTCACAAACCTAAAGCCAGGATGGAGGACTACGCACTAAAGAGATATAGGAAGGAACCTCTAGCAGGATGTTTGTGTTTATACAGTACAGGATCTAATAGGATTTGATTTTCTACTTAATGTAAGTAAGAGCCATATATTCGAGTGGTCTAGGAAGCCTTACAGTAACAAGCAGCGTAGTAGAGAAAGGCATAGTGCTGTAACAATTATATAATATTGTTCTAATAACTTTCCAATGGGTTGACCTGCATTAGATTATAATCACACTTTTTTGTTCGTTTCAAAAACGAATACAACAGACATATAGGCGGTTTCTAATATATAACACTATAAACATAATAATGAATACAAAGTTAGTACATTTCAATTGCAAATAAAAATAGAAATATGCAATACTGTTCCTAGTTACGATATGATCGCCCTATGTCTCTCATAATAATAGAAAACGTCTAAATAATAATAATAAATAACTCACACACTCAACATAGCCCCGCACTGGGGAAACCCTGTGTCGCGGGTGCCATGGACACATACATAGACAATCACAAATTACACCCAAACTCACGAGCGAAATAAATGTAGGCCAAACAAATATTTCTCCAGGCCCGGGAATCTAACCTGGGACCTCTGCGTGGCAACCGTTCGGCCACGGGGGCAGTTAAAGGATAGATATTAGCTACTAACTACTTGCAACCGCGCGGCGCACCCTTCATTTGTTGAGCACGTTAGGAATCTTATAGTCGGTCTTTTTTAATGATGGAGTAAAGTGACAGTTCATTGCAAAAAAGTGTTGCCTGCATGCCGCAGCCAGTGATTGCAGTCGATAAATATTATATCGACTATCGATTAAATCTTGGTTACGCTTATGCAATAAATAGCCGAACTGCTTCATTTGGATTGTCATCGGCAACTGCTAGGCACAGTTTCATTTAAATTCCAAAATCTCATTTAAATGCTATAAAAATAAACTCTTTAAAAAACATAAAAAGGAAAATTGACGCCTTCAATATGAAAGAAAACAATCGCTTTTGCGCCAGCCGTTTCTCTAAGTCATATTGAATTACACCATAAGTATAATTCATATACGTGTACACACAATCACGTCTCTCTACCAACAAGGTGGGGATTTCAGGAACAGCTCCTCCTACTCCTTTATACAGTGTTTATTTTAAATGGGAGAGTATGGGGAAATCCGAAACCATGGAAGATACAAGAAAACTATCTTAGGAACCATTAAGTCTTTTTTCGTAAAAAAAATTTTGGCATCTATGCCAAAATTGATTTTAATTGACTATAGTCAATTTTTTGCTCAAGCGTGTATTGTCCATAAAAAAGATTAAAATTGATCAACATTTTTTTAGTGCTAACCGACACGGTTTCATGAAGAGATCATTTCGTTGTATGGGACGAAAAACATCGGGACAGCAGAAGTTGTCAAATTTGATAAAAAGTTTTTTTCGTACAAAATATATATCCCAAGCAACTTGATGCACAGTGAACGTTGACAGTCAATAATAGTATAGATAAGTAAATTATCTGTTATTGCATGAAGTTTTTTTGGCGGGCTCAAGCCGATCACAGAATAAATGTGTATGTGTACCTTCAAAAACCAAACAATCGTTTATTTTATTCTGTACGGAAGCACTCTTATTTAAAAATACTAATTTAATTAATGTCTCAAGAACTATAATTTAAGACCTTAACATTTTATAGCGGTCCAATGTAGGTATTAACTACAATGGAAAAAATTATAAAAGAAAAAATCGATAGTGGAAACTAAAAGATAGCACAATAAAATGCCCAAGAAAACTTTGTACGGGTCTGGAATTTCCGTTCAGTACAACATAGGAAATCAGGTTAAGACTCACAACATAAACGTTGTACGTTGAAAGTACTACTAGGCTAGACGCGTTTGAACACTATACGGGCTTCATGAAGTAGACGTCAAGGGCAAAACTTAGTCATTGTTAGTGAGAAAAACTGATGTACTTACTGTAATTGTATAATATGGACACATTAGTGTGACTGTAATATAAAGTATAATTGTAAGTCAATGTATAAAGCGTAAAAAAATTATGAATAGACAATGGCGGTAATTTGTTGTTATTTCAGCCATTATTTTTTTCTCTTTATTTGCTTAAATGAGACAGCAATTCAAACAAACCTACCAAATGAATTTTAATCGAAGTCATTTATTTCATGAATTTAAAACCGTTATAGAATAAGCAGTTTTTCAACACTCAAGAAACAAACTTATTAAATTTATAAATAGATATTCCATTAATGAACTTGCAACTTCGATTTTTAAGTTTATCGTAATCATGGAGTTAATTATTAAAGTTAAAAAGTATTTGTAATTCACATACAAGACATACATATAGCTATTGTTATTTCCAGCAATACATAAAACTCTTTTATGATATCAAGTGACGGGACGAACAAGTCGTGCGCATGGTGGTAAGCGACACGCCTATTCATAACAGTTGCAATGACACTCAATCGCAAAGTTCTGAGATTACTGTACAAAAATGAAAGTCATAGCCATTGAAATAACAAAGTAATAACGTTAAATCCCTATCCTGTGAAATTTGGTTTAATGCAGAAACGCGCATTTTACGAATACTATATACGCGGATTTGGATTATCCCCGACGATAAGTTGACAAGTCCCACGTGTCTGTAATTTAAGTACCCTTCAAACCCAGAAAGCAATAATGCTCGTATTACTACTTGGTGGCAGAAATAGGTAAGGTGGTTGTACTTCCCTGAACGAACTCTTTCACAAGGGACTCTACTGCTACTAGATCCGTAAATATAAGAAAATACTTGTGGCTTTCCACAGTTTCCCGTCAAACTGTTTTCTGTTTACGTCAACATACATTATATTAATGGTTCCTAGTATCAATCTTCTTTAAATGTCACGTCACTTATTTATTACATTAATGCATCATTGAGAAGATGTAAAATCATAAATGGGTTGTAATTGTAAATCACAGAAATCTAAATGAATTGGCAATAGAAATCGCATAGCTTCGAGCTACGGTGACATTGTCGCCGCACAAGTCACACCTATTGCACCAGTACTCAAGCTGTCATTTAGTATCGAAACTTCAACAGTGAAACAGTGTGTAAAAATGGTGTTTCGCAGCATAACTAATTACGGAAACTCTTCCACAAGCTGTAATTATAGCAATAAGGGAATTACATTTAGGGAATTACAAGCACAAAAGCTGTTTTTATTAAAATAAAATTATTCAATATGAGAATCAGCTTATTCATGTAATAGTCAATGTGAAGATACCATTGCTGTTATAAGCTGTCAAATATCTATGGTGTCACACACCGCACGGATCAATGTAATACGTTATCTACGGTATCGTAATTTTAGCTAGTTATGTAACCACAATCTTTTTGTTTCGATAAATTATCGACATAATTGTTTTGTGCGTACAACAAATTATGTGTATTTGTATTATCTACCCTTGTTATAGTAACGCAAAAACGTAGGTCGGTAATTTATCGACATGTAAAAATTATGTGTTTAAACATTAAAAAGTTTTAGATAATTGATAAATCTAAATAAGTGTCAAAGTTGAAGTGAATTACATCATTTACGTTTCATACATATTTTTAACAGAATGACAGGGAAATGTATGTAAATATTATTTGTTTTTAGTTTCCCCAAACGTGTCGATGTTAAAGATAAATGAATATCCGATATATTAAAGACACCAGGCGAAAGGAACTGGTTTCTTACTATATATAGTAAAATTTACTAAGTACATTTTAATGAAGATGACTTTAAACCTACAATAAACAATAAATATTTTATTACACATTAATTGGATCGATAACATAAACCTTATTATTAAAACAAAGACAAGTGTTTTAATCATCGACCATGCTTCGTCCTTAAAGATCATGAAAAACGAAATGTCAAGTCTCGACCATAAGCAACAATGTGGCGAGACCCGTTTTCAAAGAAATAAGCGTTGTTACACTTGTAGTGCCTGTTTACTTAGATTTCTGTGTAAATCAGAGAAATCTGAATATATATTTAGGTTTCTGTGTTATAAATAAACTGTAAAATGTATTGTAGCATTTTACAATATCATTAAATAAATTAAATCATAGAATGCAAAAACCATGCTTCATTCGATGTGTTTACACTGTACACAAAATCCATATTTAGTATTATTCGTAAAGCAAAAATTTGAGTACAACACTATATATATGTACATATATCACGTTGAAATAATAGCTAAGAGGCTAACTATCTAATCTGCGAATGAATTATTGATGATACAAATATCGAACAAACAAGGAAACTCGATTGGACTCGAGAAACAGTATCTACAGCCATGTTGAGGCAATAGACACTGGATCGAAGGAACTTTTCTTTTTGGTTTTAGTTTTGTATCAGCAATAATAACAAACATGTGGAGTTTTTTCACAAATAATCTCAATACAGAGTTCTAAAAAAACCGACTCAACCGACCCAAAGAATTCGTGGAATTACATCTATTTGCCAAATTTTGTTAAAATCGGTTACCGGAAAGTACGCGAAGCCGGATTCATCACACAAAAAAGAAAAAACATAGACGAATCGAGAACCTCCTCCTTTTTTTAAAGTCGTTTAAAAATAGAAGAATATGATGGTTCTGCTTCATAAATATCAGACAACGTACCTGAGCCACAGCATCCATAGCCATCCTCTCGATATCCACGTTGTAGAAATTGAGCTGCGGAGCATGCCGCCTCCTCGGGCGGAGATCATCGTAGTACGCCACAACATCATTGATCGACACCACTGGACAGTCATCCGCCGTACTGCACCCACTGCTTACCCCGTCCACACCACTGTCTGAATCACCCTCTCCCCCAAAACCTTCCTTCGAATCTCTCCTCTCTCCATAACTCTGCTCCGACCCTTCCTGGTACCCAGACTCGTTCATATCATCCGGGGTCACGATTTCAGGAATCTTGGTCGTGTCGTATTCGTACCCGACGTCGTCGTCCACCGCCCTGTCGTCGAAATCCGTCATCATGTCCGATAAAGAAATCACTTGGAACCACCGACTGCTAGCTACATGCTGTTTCAACACACTGGTTCACACCGTTGCGCCCTGTGAATAAAAAAAAGAACAGGTTAGATCTGTTGATCTGGTACGCTGATCCTGGTAAATTTATAAAAAAATATGTTTGATTCTTACTAACTCATCATGGTATTCGAGACTGTTTATACAGTTAGTTGATAATATTAACATTATTTTATAGTTTTAAGGCATCAGTGACGCTGTTGTTGTTTAAACAAAATTATTATTATTTCCCCAGAACTGACAAAAATGAGATTTGACTTATGTTGTCAAAGAAAAAAGATCACCGTCAAAAAATGTTATACGTACATTTTTTATTAATTGAAAATCAATGATCTTCTATTTATTGAGTATAATATAACTAAGAAATAAATAAAAAATTGAATGCATTTCATTGAGTCCGTGTAAATGACAAATAGGCACTTCAAGCAGCACAAGTACGTCAATGACCTAGACACTGACCAAGTTTTGATAAAACACTTTCCGACCTCAGTTTACAAATTGTTGAAACTAAACATCGCAGTGAGACAAAACATCTGAAAATACTCTCTGTTTCTACAAGAAGGCATAAAACTCAGCGTTAACACTTTCACTGGTAGAGGAGGAAGCAGCGAAACACATTTTTTGGAATCAATGTCTTATTTACTCAATCAATTGTTTCCTGCAGGAGAAGAAATTCGTTTAGAAAATATGCCATAGTTGCACCCCCTGTCCAGCACTTAAATTTCTATCCTAAGGTTGCCTGGAAATAATTATTACTTAGCAATAAGGCCGCCTGTTGTACATTAGCTTACTCTGTGATTCACATTATTGTTCTGTGTTATCATTATAATTTTTATTGTGCAATAAAGAATATTTCACGCACGTTAAAATCATTAAACGGAATGAAACACCCATGACGTGTTCGATATTGACTGTTATTTTTGAGTTCGAATAAAGATACTAGTAGATGTAATAACGCCATTCTGTTATTTAAATGATTTATTCGATTGTAAAATTCCTGTAATATCATACAACGTGGTACTTAATTTTTCCTTTATTTGATGAAAATAGTTGTTCTCTGCTTGAGTTATGCTTGAGTTACTGTACTGACACGAGACTTTACCCGACGAACCAAGACGGGTTCGCGTCGCGACACTTTCGCTGAACGCAACAAGTCCGACCCGACATACTGACCTTATCGTTTATATTTTTCTAACATGGACTGGGTCATGTGGTCACGTCTACCATTCAATTTATTATATACGTTTTATTAGGAAAAAAAGTCATAATTAATTTCCAGCAGTTACACAAGCTGATTTTTTCAAAAGAGGCAAACAAATTTGTTTAATCAAATTTTTTTTTTTCATTTTCTTCTCACTTATATCCTCTTCGGCTTAACCTGTAGGGCTAGCACGACAAGGCGCGACTTGAGCGAGAGCGACATAAAGCGCGAGATACTGCTTGTCCCGCATAGAAATCACGCGCTCTATGTCGCTCTCGCGCAAGTCGCGCCCTATTGTGCTAGGCCTACTGATGGACAAGTGAAATAATTTTCTGATTCAATCGCTCAAATTCTTGTTTCGCATGTGTAAAAAAGCAATATACGTTGTTACGAAGCATAGGGTTCGAAAACATCGAGCGTCTTGTAAGTAAGACTAGTGATTGTGGGGCGTGTTACCTACTCCTATCCTATCCTATTTTATTTTTATACTTTTATTTCTACAATTTATAATTTAATTTTAATTTGCAGTATATTTTATATATTTTTCATTATATTTATTTGGATATTTTACGTTTTGTACATTCATTGCATATTTATCTCATAATTGATTCATTGAGTGTACACGCCACGCAAACACTACCCATATATACACTATCCACACAAACACTCTAGCTTCACAAGGATTGACACAGACACACAATTATTCAGTTGTTTGGACAAAACTTCCATTTTTAATTTTTCAAACTGCAAACTGTGGATAACTTCAATTAGTTTTACTAAATTAGCATAATTCCTGAATTGTAACTCTTGTGAATATAAACTGTTGTTGACCCGAATAAGTAAAAGAAATAAAAATAAATAAACAAATACTCAGTTGTTGTTATTAGATGTACGTACAGCTCAACTTAATTTTGACTATTTTCCTTTGAGAGTGATGCAATTAGATAATATAGAACTAATTTCCAAAGTTAACATGATTGAAGAACGACACTAATAAAACCTCCGACGACGACCTCCGCGTTCCGTCGAGAGGCTTGCATACTGTTTTACATGGTGTCGCCATCTCTACGGTTGAGGGTTCGATCCCCGGCTGGGTCAATTTAGGATAACTAACTTTTTTATATTGCCTCGAGTCTGGGTGTTCGTGGCAACGTCGTTGTTTCCTGTTTCTATAATACAACTGCTTTAGTTAGTTATTTTGGGATCAGAGAAACATATGTGATGTTGTCTAATATTTAGCTAATATAAAACAAAACGTAATAAAGATTTAAATCTAGCAAAATTTACATAACATTGCTTGGCCTTGTCTGAAATAATTTTTGGATTAACCTGTAGGTAACGGTTTAGGGTATCACGTTTGAGTGAGCGAGCTAGAAATTTGCAGCCCAACAAAAAGGGTCGGTGTAGCTAAAAAGCCTCCTGCCATCTACAGGACAATATCCGCCCAGTCATATTTTATTTCCATTTTTGTTGTAGTAACGTAAACAAATTCTTTTACACTTCACTAGTTCGGAAAGGCTTTCTTTCTCATTAGAAATCTACGCGCAAGAGCGCTTTTTCCACTCTAGCGCGGAAAAGGTTTATGAAATTCGAACTTGACGATGGACTGTGGTGTACCGAACTTTTTTCTTCGATGAAAAAGAAAACATAATTGCACGTTTTACTACGCGATTTGTCTTACATTACTTATTATGTAATATACATCCGTTAGTATATTTTATTCTTATTATTGCTTAGAGTCAAACTTAACGTGCTGTTGACTGTACAAGCAAGAATAAAAATTGTTGAGGTGTAAATTCAGGCCGCATCCGAAGTTAAACTTTTTCTTTTGATAAAAAAACAGATGTTTTATAGTTCAATTGTTTTTCTTTCATCTACCATTTTCCTCGCTATAGTGAAGTGAAAAGTGAAAAGAAAGTAGGTACGTTTCGCTCGGTAGCAAAGTTGATTTGCGTCTAGTGCCTTGAAATCTACTGCGTAGCGAGCTACGCTCAGGATTCTCTCACTTAGCATCCTTCCCTGGCTCAGATTTAAATACAAGCACTCGCGTCAAACAATAACTTTGCAGCCTTGCATAACAAATAACTATTTTTTATGTTAAGATATACTGCTGCAATATATGCATTTTAGCAAAATTAGTTAACTATATGTATAACCAGAACCGATAAGGGTCGAGCGGAGTTCTATAATGAAATCCCTAATAGGACAAAACTTTTTTGAATGATTCCAAGAGACGGGTCGAACAGGGTGCGCGCCTTGTGGTAATCGACACGCCTATTCACTCTCAGTTGCAGTGCCACTCAGAGCTTTAAATCGCAAAGATCTGAGGGGCACTGTTACTGGGACTTTGGGAAATAAGTTGACAATCCCATTAACTTGTAATTACGCCAGCACCCTTAACAATTACTTTTTTATAATTAGAGAAAATAAACAAAGTGTATACATTTGCCACACCGAAAGTGATAGTTTTTTATATAATGCCTTTTCCAGACCATCACAAAGAGACTAATTACAAACTCAACTACAAATACGTCAATTGAAAATGGTTCGCTGAGTAAATCCATATAAGACCTCAATTGTGCTTTTACGGTTCATCATGGAGGGACTTTTTGGATCTGACTCCCGTCGTCCGTATTAATATTATTACATATTACAGTGGAAGGTTTTTTTTTTGTACAAGAAGGGAAAGATTAAACTTGTTGTAATACGGTTAGAAATTCACAATTTTTTGGTTTTGCTTACACTGAGGAACAAAAAGGCTTCCTTTAAATAAACTTATGTTTTATATTGAAATACTTAGAAAATATATTAGTTAACGTATATGCGATATATATACAAATATAGTAAAAAAAAAAGTTTTCCGAGGTTTCGAGGAGGTTAGGTCACTTGATATTGTAAAAAAAAAAAGATTACATATATTTCTTGTCACGCATTTGTTAACATTTTTCCGTTGAAAAAAAGTTGATATTTGCAATACTTGTAATTTTAGAAGAAGAAGAAGAAGAACCTAAAGTTAAATAAAATAGTTCGCGCGATATATATAAAAAAATATAATTCCTTCTCAAAATACTACCTCAAAAACCGTTTTTTTTTGTTACCAGCAATTTCAAAAATTCTAAATTTTGCAATCTTTACATCTCAAGTAAAATGTGTGGAGGCCGTGGTGTATACTGCTGTAGCTGTTATATCTTACACGTGCTGTGGATTTTGACGACCTCGGTGGTCGATTGGCATGCACACTGGTTTTCATGGTGTCACCATTTTTGAGGTCCCGGGTCCGGTTCCCGGTCGGGTCAATGTAGAAAACTAACTACTTCACATTGTTTCAGGGTCTGAGTGTTTGTGATAACATCATTGCTTCCGATTTCCAAAACACAAGTATCTACTTACTTTGGGGTCAGAACAACGTATGTGATATTTACGATGCTGTAAGACTTTTTAGTACGAGTTAGCCCAGCATGATCGCTTCCTTCCTTCCTTCAGAGACACCTCTGAAGCGATCATACTATCATGGTACACAAGTACGGTGCAGAGTGATGGACTTAAAGGCTTAAACGTCAAGGGCTTAAAAGTCAATAGGCTTAAAAGTCAATGGGCTTAAAAGCAATGGGCTTAATCGTCAATATAGTGTTTTCCAATGTGACCCCATAGAACACTTACAGCGAAAAAAGAAAGTGTAAAAAAGCCTAATAATAATTTTACACTGTGGATGCATAATGAATTAGCATTGTTATGACCCGGAATTGGAACCTAGACCTAGACTTATTCAACAGGTGGCAACCCTAGTGACCTAGTTTTTGTGTCAAGGTTACTGCAACAAGTGGGC